CTTATTCCACTGAGCCATCTCCCTGGCCCTTAAAAAATTATTTTCTTCAAATGCAATGACACGACACTATTAGTAAGATCTTTAACTATATCAGTATTCCAAATGTCTCAAAATCTCTACAAACAACATTCCTGTAATTTAAAAATACTTTTTAAAAATCACTACTGAAAAAAAAAAAATCACCACTGAAAATTTCATGTAGTCACTCAGTAAGAATTCATACAGAGAAAAGGACTATAAAAATCACAGTAGTTTTCTATTTGGAAGCATTTTATAAGATTTTTTTTTTTAAATTTTGGGGCAATGAGTGATTGTCTAGGATAGGATTTTAGAAAGACAGCCCAAAATTTAAAAGGAAGGATTTATGTAATTTCTAGGTCTTACCTCATCTATGTTTCTAAGCCATTTGCTGATGTTTTCAAAACTTTTACCATTGGTGATGTCATATACTAGCATGATACCCATTGCTCCTCTGTAGTAGGAGGTTGTGATGGTGTGAAATCGCTCCTGGCCTGCTGTGTCCCTGAAATAACAGCCAATAAATACATTAAGCACTTTAATAATATTACATTTCAGATACAGGACAAAACAATGAAACATTAAAATTCACTATCCACCACAAAGCAAAACAAAATAAACACTTATTTAACATTGTGAAAGCCAGGCATAGTGGTGCCTGTAATGCCAGCACTCAGAAGGCTGAGGCAGGAGGATCTTTGTGAGTTCAAGACCAGCCTGGGCTACAAAGGCAGCTGAAGGCCAGCCTGAACTATATAGTGAGACTCTGCCTCAGAAACAAAACAAAATAAAACCTTGTTGTTGTTGTTGTTGTTGTGTGTTATTAGGGCTTGAACGCAGAACCTTTAAACTGACTATAATGCTCAGCCCTTTTTATTTTTATTCTGGGAAAGGGAAATTGCTAAACTGCCCAGGTTGGGCTCAATCTTGTATCTGTGTGCCTTTGGCTTTAATACTTTAATTAGTAAATAATTATGGTTCTTCCTTTTTCAGTGGAAGGAAATTAATGACACACTCATAATGAATGAAAATCTGGGAAGGAAAACAGTTCAAAAAGACATAAAATTTTTGAAATACCTTTTTATTTTGTAATTTAGTTCAATAATCTTACACAAAAGTGTGTGGACTTTTTGTGTTTTCATTTTTTAGACAATGGATCATTATGTAGCCCAAGCTGGGCCTGAACTCATGATTCTCTTGCATTGGCCTTCTGAGTGTTAGAATCTATACCACCATTCCCCGCTAAATGTTTAGAATATTTTTGGGCTACAGCTAGATTCATTTATTAAAAATTATAAATGTAGTCTCACTTATAGATAACACAAATATATGTAAATAGCTTTTCCTTATTTTTTTAATGCCTCCAAGTCAAGGGCTCAAATTCAACATGTATTTTGCTTCAGTAATTATGCTCTTTTCTGTTTATTTGTTTTCATTTTTTGAGACAGGGTCTTGACAGGCAGTTCAGGCTGGCTTTGAACTCACTTGTAGTCCAGGCTGGTCTCAAACTCACAAAAATCATCCTATCTCAGTCTCCCAAGTAGTGGGATTATAGGCATGTGCTATCATGCCTGGACAATCTTATTTAAAAAAAAAAAAAAAAAAAGAGCACACAAAACTTAGCTCTTTTTTGCATCACCAATTTCTTCCTCTTCTGGATTATTCTTACCAACTTTTAAAATGTTTTAGTTTCTTTTTCCTAAAATGGGGGAGGGGGACAAACCCAACTCTCCATTTTCTACATCACAACTAACATTTCATGTCTCTGTTCCTCTTCTCAACCAACATTTTAAAACTTTTATTTTGAAAGAATCATATTCTAGGTGTACTATAACACACCTATAATTTTAGCACTGGGGATGCTGAAGCAAAAGAACCATGTCTCAACGTTCTCTCCCCTAAAAAAAGTTCATACAATAACATGTAAATATCCACAGCACCATTATTCAGAATAGCTCAATATAGAAATACCACAAATTCATCAACTGATTATTGAATAAAATATGTATATCCATACAATGGAGAGTATGCTTGCTGCCTTAGGTCTGATTCCCAGCACAATAAGCAGATAGATAGGCAGCTAGTCACGATACAACATAGATGAACCTTGTAACATGCTAAGCTAAAGCATCTCATCACAAAGAGCATACGGTATATACTCCATATAAATGTTCAGAATAAGAAAATCTATAAAGACAAAAAGTAGGTTAGTAGTTACGTTGGTGAAAAAGTTAGGAGGGTAGGTGTGAAAGATATGAGGTTTCTTTTTAAGGGTGATTAAAATGTTCTAAAAGTTATGATGGTCATTTGTAATCTTGTGAATACACTAAAAACCACTGAATTGTGCATTTTAAGTAGGTAAATAGTATGCATGTGAGCTACGTCTCAATAAACCCACTGCAAAACATACTAACATGATGGCAGACTTAAAAACAAACACAGCACTCAAGAGTTGGATTTTTTTTTTTTTTAAGCTGGCTCAGGGTGCCTTATGGGTGGGTCTGGTAATGGACGTGGAACTGGGCATTGAACTGCGGTCCCCTTTGCCTGTCTTGGTTTGCTGAAGCAGGCGCTTAAACAACGGAGCTAACCTGCAAGCCCCCATTTAGAATTTTTTTTTAATTTAGAAATTTTTTAATTTTTAGTATTTTTTAAATTTTATTTTTATCCTTTTTTTTTTGGCCAGGGGAAAGCACGGACGCAGTCCCCCACTACCATAAATTATACGGTCAAGTTTTCCACATTTGGGGAAATCGCAGAGGTCAACCCATCCACAGTGCAATGGATAAGACTTGCCCTCAGAAAACCACCTTCGTGATCATGGTATCTCCCCTTCCAGATAAGTATTTTATCCTTTTTTTTTTTTTTTTTTTAAGAATTTGAGGCAGAAGGATCATCATGAGTTCAAGGCCAGACTGAACTACAGTGAGAGCTTGCCTCCCCAAGCTCCTAAAAACCTAAACAACCCACAAGCCCCTAAAACTTTTTTTTTAATGTATTTGGGTACAGAGTCTACAGAGTCTCACTACATAGATCGGACTCATAGTGATTCTGTTTTCAGCCTCGCAAACACTGAGATTACAGGTGTGTGCCACCACACTGTCTCAAACCCTGGCCGCTACACTCTGCCTAAGCAGGCGCTTTAGTCTGCTGAGCTATCTGGCCAGCCCCCAAAATACTTCTAATGGAAACTTTTTTTTTTTTCCCCCCAGAACCGGGAATTGAACTCAGGCCACTGCACTTGTTAGGAAGCACTTATTCTACTGAGCCATCTCCCCGGCCCATCTAATGGAAACTTGCTACATCCAGAATCAACTCCAAAATGTATTTATCCTTTTTCCAGCCCCTATAATTTTGGCCCCTCTTTTCCCTAACCACACATAGCCACTTTTTTTTTTTTCATGTCCCTCACAAGCTTGTCCCCTCCTGTTTTTGGGTTTTTTTTTTTTCTAAAGGCAGAAACTGAGAATGGATAAATATGAATATGTGTATGTAAGAGAGAAACTAAAACTAGGTCTTCTCATGTACCATGTGCTCTACCACTGAGCTATACCATACCCTCAGTCCCACTTGACAGCACCTACACAGCCTATTCCCACCATTTCTCCCTGCAAATTCAAGGCCAACCTGGGCTACATAACGAGTTAAAGGTCAGCCTGGAACTACACAGCATAGGCCCGTCTCAAAATTGGGGATGGAGGTGGGGAGTGGTGGTGTGTGTGTGTGTGTGTGTGTGTGTGTGTTTCATGTGTAATTTTTCTCTTTTCCAATTTCCTATTTTATCCTTTATGTACTGAATTAAAAGTGCCTTAAATCACATGCACTTATACACACTTCCATTAAAGAACAAAGGCCTGTCTCATCACCGTCAGAATAGGGTTTTTTTAATCTAGTAAAAAAGAAATACTGCAACCTTGCTGGGCACAGTGGCACACACCAGTTATTCAAGCTATTTCAGAAGGCTGAGGTACGAGAACCACAAGTTTGAGCCTAGCTGGACAAATGAAATGTCTCAAAATAAAATTAAAAGATACTAGTTTTGGATATAACTCAGTGGTAGAGTGCTTGTCTAACATGCACAAGGCCTTGGACTTAATCTCCAATATGGAGGAAAAAAGGGGAAGTGGGGAGCTGGAGAGATGGCTCAGTGGTCTAAAGCACCTACTTAGAACAAGCTAAGCAAAGCACAGGGACCACGCGGTTCAATCCCCCAGCACCACATGCCAGCCAGCCCCACCCCCTGGTGGGCTGAGCTGGCCACACACACACACACAGAATAAATAAACAAATAAATTAAATTTTTTAAAAAAGGGGAAGTGGGGGAAACTAACCTATAATGCTATCTCTTTAAAGATGACTGAAGACACTCAGAAATCATGCAAGCTGGAAATGTATTTATCTAACACACAGTGTGAAGGACCTGGGCTTCCAGTAGTGACTAACTATAGTGTAGGAGGCATAAGACACTTTGATTTCAATTTTGTTCTAAAGTAATAACTATTTAGAGAGCTCTTCCACAGCATGCTACTACAGACAACACCCCCAATGCTTCCTATTATATGCTTCCTCTCCTCCATTTATTTACATTATACAATTAGCAAAATTATATATAATTCAGCCTGTGCTTAAGTTCTGCACTAAGAGAAAATAGTACAAAAGAGGCAACTTAGCTAAACCTTTATCAGTAGCACCTAGGGGAGAGCTGAGGCACTAACCTTATAAAATGTTATAGTTATAAAACACTAACATAGAAGATATTAAAATATCAATGGCCTTTCTGAAAAGAAATCACTACTCTGCTCAGAGTAAGTTTGCTTTGCTCCATGACATACTACTACACCTGCACTTTACTTTTTGTTTCTGTCTTCCAGAATCTTACACCCAATTATATTCCCTCTTTTTGTATGACCTCTCCCATTAATTCTTTTTGCTTTCTATATCCTGCTTTCATTTATGTATTTCCAATATTTTTTTTTGCGGAACCGGGGATTGAACTCAGGCCCTTGTGCTTGCCAGGGAAGCGCCTATTCCACTGAGCCATCTCCCCGGCCCCTATGTATTTCCAATATTTGTACTTTTCAATATTACTATTTCCTGCCTCACAAAATGATCCAGACTCTGATCTCAAATTACCCTTTTCCTAAGTATGGCTCTCTATTTTACCTTATCATTCAGCTTCTACCAAAATGTTAAAATGACAATTTATTTCAAACCATCTAACAGAGTACTTCCTTCACTATTTGTAGGCCAGTGCTGGCAAAACTACAGCAAGACTGTTAACTGTTTTCCTTTTAAAATAAAAGATGTTGGGGTGATAGCTCAGCGGTCTAAGTGCCTACCTGGCAAGCTCAAGGACCCGGGTTCAATCCCTGGCACTACATGCTATGCTGGACCCAAGTCGAGCCTGCCACTAAAATCAGGCATGGTGGCACACACCTGTAACCCCAGCACTGGGGAGGCTGAGACAGGAGGCTCACTATGAGTCCAAATTGTGTAGCGAGACCCTGTACCAAATACATAAATAAAAGATTTTTTTAAATGTTAAAAAAAAAAAAAAAGATAAAAGATGTCGATGTATGAGTTGTTTTTTCTAAGCTAAAACCTCAGTATTCAATGTTGGTACTTTGTGATAAATAAGTATGTTTTGGGTTTGGGCATATGTCTAGAAAAGGTTCTCCATCACTGCTCTAGGCTAATTAGTAACTCTGCTCAGGGTTAAAAATAGCCACAGCTGCTTGTTTGTTGGTCAAATTATTTTTAGGCTTGTATAACACATATGGCCAAAAATCTAATCCAATCCAGCAGGTTCAATACAACAAGAAAAGCAAGGGTTTTTAAATATCTGACAATTAAACATTTATGTGTTCACATTTTCTTTTTGTTTCAATAACAGAGGTGCCTATCCCTGTTTTCAAAACTAGTGTATTCCTGCTAACATTTTTTTCTTCCTAACCTACTCAATATGACCAGATTTTTCAAATTATAAGCTGATGGCAGAATTACCCTTACATAAAATAATACACAGAGTATTGTAAAATGTTATTTTTCCCCATGACGTATTACAAAGGAGTAATAAGTCCAGGAGTTAAAATAGCTTTTCTTCTTAATGTCCCACATGTTGGGTCAGAGAAGCTGTGCACTCTGGCTACTATGACAGTTATTTTTAGTCTGAGTCCTGACAGCACTGGAACAGGTCAAAGATAACACCAATCTGCTCTGCAGTGCAGACTTCAAATTTCATAACTTTGTGGGTTTTGGTAACATAATGAAGTTATTTTTTATAGATTGAGTTGTCAAATTTCACATGTTGGCAGAGTGTGGTAGCATACGTCTGTAATCCCAGTGCTCGGGAGGCTGAGGCAAGAGAACTGTTGCAAGTTCAAGACCAGCCTGGCTACAAAGGGAGCTGAAGGCCAGCCTGCACTACATAACCAAAACTTGTCTCAGAAAAACAAAACAAAACAAAACAAAAACTCCACAAAATATAGTGAGTTTACATTATGCTTATCTTAGCTAGGTACAATGACACACACCTGTAATCCCTGCACTTTTGAGAGGCTAGCAAGACCTTGTCTCAAGAAATAAAAAAGGGTCTAATATATTAATAAAACATTTAACATGAAAAAATAATAAAAAGGATTGGAGATGTAGAGCAATGTGAAGGCCATAGGTTCAATCTCCAGTACTAAACTACAAATAAGCTCCAATACTAAGCTACAAATACACCACCCAAAAGTAATGTTTTTAAAGTAAGAAGGCCTGCCTTCTAAGATCTTAGCACAGTAGAGAAGAGAAATAAAAGGAATTATATCACAAACTGTGAACGCTAGCAAGGTTCATGCCAAAACAGAAGTGAAGGATAAAGAGAGAGAAAATAACTTAGAATAATTAGGGAAATCTCTACAGAGGTGAAGCTTAACGTGGGAAGTAAAGTGTGAACAGAAACCACTGACTAAAGTCATTCAGGCCACAAATATTTATTGAGGATCTATATTTGCATGGCTCTATTCCAGATGGGAGAGATATAAGTATAAAACCATACAACAAACAGATGGGATTCTCACCCTTCAAAAACTCATATATATTCTAGTGGGAGAACAAAATTAAGTCATTTATAAAAGTATAATGACTTCATATACTGAAAACTACTATGACTAGGGCTAAATAAGACAATACCTACAAGCACTGGGTTTCGTTAGTCCTCACACAGGCTTCTCTGAGGATAACAATGAATTGAGATCTGAATAAGAAAAAACAGCAAGGCAAGGAGATGATCAGCATTCCAAGCAGAAAGAAAAGTAAAAAGTTAAAGGCTCGGAAATGGAAACATACTTGGTTGGCAAGTCTCAACAGACCATAGTGGTAAGAGATGAAGAAAAGGGAAGTGGGAGCCAAGATTTAAAGCCTCTGAAATGGAATGATAATTTCAAACAGTCTAGCCATGGGAGAGGGGGAGGATAACCTGAGGGTTGGGAAGGGCTACAAATCATGTACAAAGGTTCTAAAATGGTTTAGTTGGGGCTAGAAGCTACATACAAAGGAGAGTGAGGCAATTAGAGGTAGGTGAGATCCTTAATGTAATAAGCAATGTAGATTCAAATTTTAGACTTTTCATTTGAAATGCAAGGTAAAGGGACAGTAAGTAGAAGGACAACCATCATCAGCTTTATATCTGAAAAAGGGTTACTCTGAGTGTTATATGAAAAAAGCACAGGAAGAAGGCAAAGGTAGAAGGCAAAGATAGAAGATTGGTTGGAATATTAAGAGACTACTACCATAGCACAGAGGTGATGATGGTGAATCTTTTAGAGACAGAAGCCTAAACTCACCTATCTATACCACAGTGC